ATATGAATTGTTTATTTGTTGTGTTTTCTTTGCCTTGAAGTTGTTTGGGTATGATGACACATATGGCTCTAGTTTTACAAGGGTTGTAAATTTTAAATACGGCCTGCATGTCGTGCCTCTCTCTATAAACTCTAAATGTATATTCTCTTCTCATCTCAATCCCCTCATCTGTATAAACAAGGTTTCTTGATGTAATTTATCTTCTTAGAGAGGTCCTCTCATTGGCTTGGGATGGACATAGGTTAGATGAGCCATATTGTGTCACGTTTAATTATGCTTTTAATTAGATCATAATATGCATCATTTTGTATGAGATACAATTGCTTTCACTTTACACGATTATTAAATTAATAAATCAAATCCTCTAATCAAAATCTTAAGTCATAATGCCATCAATTAATGAATACTTGTGAAAATCTAGATCACTTAAATGTAGGATCTACCAAAGTGGATACATTTGGGTTATCTTGGTGAGACAAGCGTGAGTAATGGTGCTACTCACAAAGCTTCATTACTATTTAACTTAATTGAGATTATCAAAATGGTTTTGGATCTCAAGGCATTAGATAGGATTGAACATGCCGGATTATATGATGATTAAATCCCATAAAGATCTAAGAGTTAAATGTGATGTAATTGGTAAATGAGTTACCTACCTAAATAACTTAATCGTAAGCGTCCTGCTAAAGCGGACTTCAATTTAAGTAAAATATGGGTCTTAGCCTACTAATCAAATTTGAGGGTTATTAGTTTTAGTGGGAGATATAAAATTAACTTAGTGTATTTTATTGTAGAATCATGTCGACTAGTAACATTGCTACACTATCATTGCGATCAGTCCTTAAGAAGGACAAACTTAATGGGACAAACTTTCTTGACTAGTTTAGAAACTTGAGAATTGTTCTCAAGCAGGAAAGAAAGACTTATGTCCTAGATGAACCCATTCCTGAAGAGCCTGCAGCCAATGCTCCAAGAGCTTAAAGGGATGCTTGCACAAAGCATACTAATGACTCGGTAGATGTAGGATGCCTAATGCTAGCTACTATGGTTTCAGAACTTTAAAGATATTTGGAACACATGGAGGCTTATAAGATGATTGTACATCTCAAGTAAATGTTCTAGCAACAAGCAAGGCAAGAGAGGTATGAGACCATAAAGGCCTTACACTCCTGAAAGATGGCTGAGGGTGCATCAATTAGCACTCATGTTTTAAAGATAAAGAGCTATATTGATCACCTTGAGAGGCTTAGATTTCCCTTAAGCCAGGAGTTAGCTACAGATTTCATCTTAAACTCACTTCCAGAAAGTTATGACTAGTTTGTTATGAACTATAACATGAATGACATGGAGTAATCCATTTCTAAACTGTATAGGATGCTTAAAACTACTGAGAAAAACATTAAAAAAAATCCTAGCACTGTTTTAATGGTTCAAAAAGGAAACGGTATGAAAAAGAAAGGTAAAGGCAAGGGCAAGGGAAGGGGTAAAGGCTCATATGGTAAGAACAAAGTCAAACAAGCCCAAAATCAAGCCTCCAGCCAAGAAGGCAAAGCCTCTAAAGGAAGGAGTTTGCTTCTTTTACAATGATCCGGGTCATGGAAAGAGGAATTGCAAGCTCTACTTGGAAGATCCAAAAAAATGAAGGATAGCGGGACTACTCTTTCAGATATTTATGTTATAGACATTCACCTTTCTACTTCTATTGCATGGGTATTAGATACTGCATGTGGTTCTCACATTTGTACAAATGTGTAGGGTCTCAAAGACAGTAGAAAGTTGATGAAGGGTGAAGTGGACTTAAGAGTTGGAAATAGAGCAAGAGTTACTGCTTTAGTCGTAGGCACTTATGAATTAGTTTTGCCCAACGGGCTTTTGTTAATTTTGAACAATTGCTATTATATTCCTGCTTTGAGTAGCAACATTATTTCTCTTTCTTATTTAGATAAGGAAGGTTTTACTTCCATTACTAGGAATGGTTAATGTTCTATTTATCAAAATGACAATTTTTTATGCTAATAGTGATTTGCATTTTTGTCATTATCTTTTAAATCTGGAACATCCTAATAATGAAAACATCTATAACATAACTATTAAAAGGATTAAGTCAAATGATTTACATCCAACCCACCTATGGCATTGTCGTCTCGGCCATATAAATGATAAACGCATTTCTAAGCTTCATCAAGATGGACTTCTCAACTCATTTGATTTTGAATCTTATGACACTTGTGAATCTTGTTTATTAAGAAAGATGACGAAAGCACCTTTTACTGGGCATGGTGAAAGGCTAATGGCTTACTGGGACTCATACATACAGATGTATGTGGACTAATGAGTACAACTGTCAAAGGAGGTTATCTGTACTTCATTACCTTCATTGATGACTACAGTAGATATGGATATATCTACCTAATGGAACACAAATCCAAATCTTTTGAAATGCTCAAAATATTCCAAAATGAAGTACAAAACTAACTTAGTAAGACTATTAAAACTCTTTAATCTGATCGAGAAGGTAAATATTTAAGCTAAGAATTCATTAATCATCTCAGGAGTTGTGAGATAGTCTCACAATTAACTCCTCCAGCAACACCATAATGGAATGGTGTTTTTAAGTGGAGAAATCAAACACTATTAGATATGGTTCGATCCATAATAAGTCAAGTAGATCTATCACCATCCTTTTGGGGCCATGCACTAGAAACAGCTACGTTCACACTGAATCGTGTTCCATTTAAGGCTATTAAGAAGACACCATATGAGATATGGACTGGGAATAAACCTAGTTTGTCTTTTCTTAAAATTTGGGAAAGTGAGGTTTATGTTAAGAAACAGGCCTCAGACAAGTTAACGCCCAAATCCACAAAGTGCCTTTTCATGGGGTATCCTAAAGAAACAAAGGGATACTATGTCTACAATCTTACTAATAACAAAGTGTTTGTAATTCAAAATGGTATCTTTTTAGAAAGAGAATTTATCTCTAAAAGAACCAGTGGGAACAAGATACATCTTGAAAAAATTTGAGAATCACAAAATAATACAAAGCCATAGATGGAAAATTGAGAAAACTCACAAAAAGTAAATGAGTTTACTCAAATAACACAAGGCCCACAAAGGTCTAATAGGACACGGCATTATCTTCAAAGATATAGATTTTCGATTAATGAATGTCATGATGTGTTGCTCATTAAATACAATGAATTAACCACCAAACAAGAAACCATAGTAGGATCAAATTTTGAGAAATGACTAAATGCCATGAAGTCTAAAATGCAATCCATGTGAATTTAGTTGATCCACCTGAAGGTATAAAAACCATCAAGTGCAAGTAAGTCTTTAAGGAGAAAACTGATATGGATGACAAAGTAAATGTAATATCTTAAATTTTAAATTAAATTAATGTAATTTTTTCAATTGATAATTTATTTAAATTAGTTTTATAGTAAGTAGAGATGGTAGTTTAAGTAAAATTTAAACTAGGAACTTTCTTGAAGTTTCAGAGTTTGAATTTTACTTAGCAAACTTTTGGTTTCATTTTGTTTAAAATTATAGAAATTTTTTTGTCCTTTGTTGTAATTCTCATTGGTCTTTTCTTGTGATTTTCCTTGTGCCTTTCTTGTACTTTTCTCAAATTATTTATAGTGCAGATTTTTTTTCTTCTTTCACGTGTAAAATACAGAGCATCGGTTTTCATTTCCTCTCTTCACTGACAGCATGCCTCTGATTTTTTTTTTTATTGGTTGACCCATCTCTCTCTAGTACCCTCATCGGTTTCTTCATCTTTTTTTTTTTTCTTCTCCCTGCCGTCAACAGCTTGTCCATCACCCTTCTCTCCATCTTCGTTCATTCGCTGCAGTGGGTTGGCTGCTGGGTCTTTCTCCCTGTCATCGTCCTCTGTTTCTTCCTTGCTTTGGGTCAGTATGTGGTGCGTGGACTTAGTCTTCCTTTCTCCTCTCTGTCCGTTCGTAGTCGGCAACCATTGGCGTGCCTTTCGTTACTATGGCGATTTATCATGGTCACGATCTCCTCTTCTTCCGTTTGTGCTCGCTTGATCACAAGGTTTTTTTTTCTCCTCTTCTTGTTCTGTTTTGACTAATCTAATGTGAGGATTTTTGAGTCCTCCTCTTTGTCGATTACTGCTTTCCTAATTCTATCTATATGCTTGTAGATTTTATTTGAGCGCTGGAATAAATAATCTCTTTCGTGGCCAATATATATATATATATATATATATGATGAATCTAATGTCAACGTTGCTCTGGCTTTGATTATTAGCTGAAATTTTGCACTTGGTTCCTCTCAACTCTACAGTCTTTCCCACTTTACAACCCACGACACTAGCCATTGAATTGGGTGGGTTTATTAGGCATAACTACCTTTTAACTCTAAAATCAATCTCCTGCTTTCAAAAGTCATGAGCTATGCAAATTATTGACAAATGACCACCATGCATACTTTTGACAGTGTAAAAAAATCAAGCGGAAATTGCTAGTATTAAGAGGAAGATGATGATGGTGTGGGTTTGAATTCTTCTTGAGATTAAATTGATTCTTGATGGAAAATTTAATTGAAAAAGCGTGATGAATCTAGATGGATGGAAATTTGTCGGGGAAAAAGATTCAAGATGAAAAAACTTTATTAATTGATTGAAATTTCTTGGAGGCTTATTTCATGATTTGGTAAATGGTGAATGCCCCTAAGGTGTTTGTAGGGGGGATGTCTTGAAGGAAGAATTTAGTGAATAAATATTGTTAAACTTTCATTTTATACTTTGGAGAAATATGTGTAAATGTTGGCTTGAGTCATTAGTTAGAATCTTAAGATACCAAAATAGGAGACACTACTACAAAATTCTAGATATAAGATACTATTAAAAATGACTATTGTAAAAAAATCCATCATTTAAAAGAGAGGTGGGTGATAATTGAACAATAAAAGACGGCTGTTTAAAATACCCGTCATTTATTTCATTAAAATATATGATGGGTGTTTAAATATCTGTCGTATAATGTCTTAAATTTTGATTTAAAATAAAATTTAAAATTAATATTAATATAAATGATATAGATTTGCTATTAGACACCCATCATTTATATAGATTTGCTATTATAAAATTTTAATATAAGATACTAAAAAACATGACAGTCATGAGAAAACCCCGTCATATAATGATAAAGCAATTTGGTACCCTAGCTTCTTGTTTTCATATTCAGAAGGCTTTCTAGTTCTCCAAACTCTTAAGCTTTTAGATCAAGAGTAGTATGTAGAACTTTGGCCTCTACCTCCTTGTTGCCCTATTCGATTCGATCGTCAGTAGAGCTATTGCTATCGCCACCTAGATATGACGTTCTTTGCCTCAGATCGTCGATATGCTCTGTTCGTCGCTGCTCGTGCTGTTTTGTGATCTGCTCCTCACTGTCGTTTTTGTCTGTTTAGCCGATTGTCACGACCATTGAAGAAGGTGAAGTCGAAGAAAGGCTTGCCATTGAAGAACATCCGAGAATGATTTGATTTCTACATGAACCGTTCGTATTGCTTCCCGTGTCCTCTATATAGAGGACACTAATTGGTAATTTCCATATGATTTGTTTGTTACCTTCTTTGCAAGAATTTGGAAATTGATTTGAGCTTCAGGCCATGTCCTTGATATTCCAAAATAATTTTGTTCCCTTCAACCTTTACCAAGTTCTAATAGGAAAATGTTTGTGAAGGAATATTAGGTGCTCGCTCTTCCCTCTCTCCTGAAGAAAATATATGAAGACATGAAAAAAATGATGCCCCTGTATCTTGAACCTAATGGAGTCAATCTATGTGCTACCTCTTTGCTTCAAAATCAACTATACTAGAATAGGGAGCTTACTATAGCTTCTTTCAACTTCCATGAAGAGAACTAGTGAATGGTATGCTTCTAAATCTTTGTATGCAACTAAGTATTCTTTGGTGTGTCTCTTGTCTATGCTAACAATTTGCTTCAGTAATGTGCATCTGCTGCTATCTCCTAGATATAAGGAAAATTAATGAAACCCTTGTTTTAAACTTCTTATAGTGTTTTCTCTCATGAGATTCCAAGTGATATTATAGTTCAAGTCGTATAAACTTCCTTTTTATTGCATAAGGTAGTAACTCTTTTTATCTACATGTCGAACTCATTACTATAAGAGTCATTAACGGTAGAGTGAATCATCCATCTTCCCCGCTAATTGTCTGAATATTTTGCCTATATATAGAAGTTAAACTAAAAGGCTTGTATAATAGTAATTTTTTTCTCATATTTCCTATTATATAAATTGTAGTTTGCATTAGCCTCTAAGTGTTGAGACATTAGGAAACTCATCTTAGAATCTAGTATGGGTAATTATAATTAGTTAATACTTTTGTGGAGTTATTAATTTGATATTTCTACAGGTGATTGACAAGAAGGCTTCTCTTAAAAATGATTCTCCACTTAAGTCTCCAAACCCAACTATCTCACCTTTGAAGAATACAAATGAGAATTTTTCTCCAATATTGACAAGCAGGACAAGCACGCCTCAGCAAAAAAGTACCAAGTCATCACCTTGTGTGGGTAATGTTCATAGCAATCTTCTTAAAGTTCCTCTCAATATCAAGACACGGTATGATCGATCTACAACTTGGGATGGTCTTCCTCCTATTCTTTGTAATCTTGGAAAGGTATGGAATCCAACTTCTTGTTGTGAACTACCAGATTTCAACTCCTTTTAGTTCATGTATTTTGACATCATTTTGTTCACTTTCTAGGAAGTTGCAAGTCATAGGAACATTTCCTTTTTAAGTTCCCTCTCCCAAGAAAAAGCCAAGTGAAGACGTGTTTTGCAAAGCTCCCACTAACAAGAATGCTATGACTTGGGTACAAGTTGCCTTGCGAACTAATCTTTCCAAGTTCATATTATAGTTAAATTAAACTATTTTGTGCTAGTTACCCTCATTGAAGTCATGTCTAATTTTTTAAGTAAATATTAGAAATTTATATGCTAAGTGAGTGATAGTGCCATAATTTGTAGGATTAGTATAAATACAATTGTAAAGTGTGCAAGTTGCAAAACTTGACGTGTAGAGTTATGAGCATTTTTCTATTTGCACTTTGGTTACTTTAAATTTCTATTGGTTAGTTCATTACGTTAATTTTGATATGGATTGATGGACAATTTATTTTTTAAGTTGAAAGAAATGATAATTTATAATGAGTTATATATTTATGAAATTTTGCTATTAGTTTCTATTATAGTTCAATTGTATTGTTGTTTGAAATATGCTAAAATATTAGTTATGAAAATTATTTGTATATCATGTTACAGGAGTTGCTTCTCGCTATGTAAAAGCAGCCCCCTATTTTTAAAAGAATCCAGAAACAAATATGACGGTTATTAGTAATAACCTTCATATTTGTTATTTATAATAACCGTCATATATTGAATGTTCCCTATATATGACAGTTCTTATTTAGTAACTGTGATATATACTAGGGTCCAATATATGACGGGTATTTACAATACCTGTCATATATTTTTTGACAATTAATGACAATATATGATTGGGTTATTTAACCATCATGTATGGTCATGAATATATGACGGGAATTTAACCGTCATATAAAGGGAAAGCTTTAAATGACAGACTAATAAATGACAGTTATTAATGGTCATTTATAGGTATAAATAATCGTCATTTATGCTTTTTTTGTAGTAGTGAGAAAGGATTAAATAGGACCATTATTATAGTAATTTATTAAGTTTAAAGAAAGTATAAGAAGAGTTAATGTGATCTATCATAGTAGATGATTGAGGATGGTTATGAAGGATATCAGGATGAATTGAGATTTGTTAAATAATATAATGGGCTTAATGGTACTTGGAACATAATTGATTATGGCATTATCTTTAATATTGTTTGGAAAATTAAATTGTTGTTATCATAAGGAATATGGAGATGTTTATAACTTAGTTTCTATTGTATTTTTAAAGTATTTGAACATGGAACTTGGTGAAGGTAAACCTATTTAATTTTCATATCAGGGCCTAGTGGAAGTGTAAACACTGCTTAAAGAGATATATGCCTTTATTTATGTAAGTTGTAAGGTTAAACTAATCATTAGAATCATGTAGCACCAAAGGAAAATTATAATGGCATGAGGATTGTTGGTTTGAATGCTAGATTATTTGACGCATCACTGAAGTGAGTGAGAAATTGAGGAGGTTAAACTATAGAATTCTTGGAAACCCTTAGATGAGTGGGTGGCATTCCAAATCAATTTTTGGTAGAATGTTATAAAATTTCTTTATTTAAATTTCACTATTATTCTTTTATAAATTGTACAAATATTCTTATTAATCTTATTTTTCTAATAATTGTTTTTATTTATGGTAGAATGTTAATCTTATTTTTTTTATAATTGTTTTATTTGTGAACACGTGTTAATTTTTCTAAGGATTTATAGTTGATAGGCAATGATTGGAATAGATATATGATGAATTGTATTATTTTTTATTACTAGTTTAATTATTTAATTATATGTTAATATAAAATTTTTATTGCAACAATTTGTGTATGGAGGAAATGTAATAAATTTGGATAATGAAAAAGATAGTTAGACAGTATTTACAAGTGAAAATTTTGAAACTATTTTCTTGCTCTATATACACGCTTGATTTTAATGAGGGGGACTAATTTCATAATGTTGGATGCTAACGGCAGTTTCGTTAGCCCTTGACGCACCATGGTACACTGTAACGTCCCGAAAATTTTAAGACTCGAATTTATTTTAAAAATAAAATAAAATATTTATAATCAAATTAAAATTTAGAATAATTTGATAGAAGTTCAGAGTTTGAGTTTTACTCGGCAAAATTTTAGTTTTATTTTATTTTTAACTATGAAAAAATTACCAAAGTTGACCCGGGCTTTGTGCTATAATAAAAAAAGTTGGGCCCTTTCTTGTAATTTTTCTCAAACTATTAGATCAGCAGTTTTAAGAGCAAAATGAACGCAGAAACAGAAATGAAAAGGAAAGAAACAAACACACAAGAGAGAGAGAGAGAGGAAGAAGAGAGGAGAAAGAGAGGGAGTTAGGCTTGGATCTAGAAAGCTTTACGACCGTTGCGAGCTCGGCTACACGTTAGGTAAACTTCCTACTTCAATCCTCTTCCCTCCCTCTTTGTTTTCTTCAATTTTGGAAGAGGAAATTTCTAAAGTTTGATTCAAAAGACTTTATTCTTATAAGCTTTAGTTTCTTTGGGTCCTTGGAAGGTTGTTTTGAGTTTCTACATGATGCCCTAATGTTTTGAGGAGGTAATTGGATGAAAAATGGAGTTTTAGGGCAAAAGTCAAACCCCAAGAGGTTGGGTTTTGCACCTCAATGGTTTAAGTCTATTGATTTAGTTATAATTTTGCTATTTGAGCCCAATAAGATTTAAATTAAAGTTTGGTCTTCATTATAAGGGCTAATGGTGAAAGTTGGTGACACTAAGTGAAGGTTTTTAATTGATTAAAAATTATATGAATTGGAAATTAGTCTAGTAATGGCTAATAAATGCTTTTGGTGGTTAAGTGATACTATGTGAATGGTTAGTTTAATATATGGACCATTAGGATGGATTATGACTCATTGACCTAAGTTGTGTGGTATGAGTTATAGTCTTCATTAATGCTATTTATCATGATAAGTGATGTGGATCACTTATATGTTGTAGGGATTGTTGGTGGAATTTGTTCGGAAGTTAAGGAACAAGCCAAGTCCTATTTTGTATAAAAGGAACCCTTTTAGTATCAAAGGGTTGAAATAATAGGGCAATTTATATTTCTTATTACTTTGTTTAGCTATTTTTAAATAAATATTACTAGCGATCATGCATTACATATTTTAAAAGATTAAATATGCTTTATAAGGGGTTATGGGGTACTACTTTGATTATAGTGCAAATATGTTTTCTAATTGTTTAACAACAATGTTTTTATAGAAACGAGATTTATTTGCATGCATTGTAATCATAAAGAATAGAAGTTGCACTTAAGAAAGTATAACTAAGTAAGGTATCTTAGATAGGCTAAGGAACCGTTTAAGGGAGATTTATAAATGTTATACTACCTTAGAGTGTTGAAGTGGTCAATACTCGGGAAAGGTAGACAAGAATAAAAGGCATGATCTTGGTGGGAGTTCACTAATGAGAAGGTGTGGACTTTTGATATTCTATGGCACACTGCCAGCACTCAGTGTTGCCTTACGTATTGTGAACTCAGTGCACTAAAGTGGTTAGTGTATTTAGTATTTGACACCTCTCAGTGGTGGAGGGAATCCGATATATGAAGTGTGAGGTTGAGTGCCTAGGCCAAGGTAGCCCTCACATGGAGAGTAAGTCGGGCTGGCTCTTGGAGGGAGTTAGCTTCGGTTGCTCAGGGTTCACATCGAAGGGGCATAGGCGGTTCGGTAGATCAGATCATACTTTAGATTATGTTTTGTATCTGTGGAGGTACAAGTATGTATAAGATTTACCTGCGAGTTAAAGAGTGCCAGGGGGCATTCTGTTAGTCATAAAAGGCCATACCAGTCTATGTCATGCATTCATGCATTTTAAATGGCTAAATTATATACTACGTTGAATTTATTATTCGTTTATTCAATTATAGCTTACTTTGTAATAATCAATGTAGATTTCTCTATTACTGAGACTGTGGTTGTCTCACCTCTTTCTTTTCAATATTTTTCAGGTCCAGGTAAAGGAACCAGTGGAGGACGAGGAAAGGAGCAGAGCTAGGGGTTGTTTGTGAATTATAAAGAACTACAACCCTTTTCTTTTGAGCAAATCTATTGTAATGTATTTAGAATTAGGGTGCCAGTAGGATGTGATTATGTATATGTGTGTGAGTATGTGTGGATTGTATGGCTTGTGTATGAATTTTTGTTTGCTTACATGCTTGTGGCTAGGAAACTAGGCTATGGTGTGTGGTTTTGATGGATTTATTTAGTAGACCAAATTTTCGCTATAAGCAAATATTTATTTTGGTATATATGTAATCCCACAAGTAAATGCAAAGTGGTTACATTGCAAATGATGTGCTATGGGCAAACATACACCTTGGATAGAGAGAGTGGGTGCGTAGGTCTCACAGAGATTTCTGAGCCAAGTGAAAATGTTTAGCGTGTTTATTCATATGTGTATATGATATTTGAAATAGTTTTTGGCCACTCTTGTGTAATTTGTGCATTTTGGAGGTTTAGGGTTTATTTTGGGAAATGGCACTCGGGTGGTCAAATTTTGGTATAAAGGGTTTTTCTATCATTTAAATATTCTATCAGGTGTTTTTAGTCCTATTTGATGTGTCCAAAGTATTCTCACAGGTTTGTGACTATTAGGATGGGATTTGGACAATTTTGAAAATGGTTTTTACTAAAAAACTGTACTTTTGCATCTGGATGTCCAAATCTTAAGTCGACCGTTCGATTTCTCTAAAATTTGGGTCACAAGTAAAACCTTTTATAATCTTCGTGCTGGCTTTGGAATCATGTCGATCAGTCATCGGACGGAGAAACAGCACACTCCGAAATTTGGTCCGGAGGAGCTGTCATGACAGCAACAGTGATGAAGTTGCAACATGCACGAAATTCAATCTATCCGTTGGATCCTTTCAAAATTTTGTGTACTAATAGTACTCTTTAAAAGTGACATGTGGGTTTTGGAATCGCTCCGATCGGAGGTCGTATAATGAAATGGTGCACTCCGAAAGTTAGTCCGAAGGTGCTGTCATGATAGCAAAAATGACCAAACTTGTAACATGTCTAATTTTTAATCCAATCGTTGGATCTTTTTGAAATTTGGTACAATTATAGTACCCTTTGAATGTGATGTGTGAGCTTTAAAATTACTTCGATTGAGAACCGAATGACAGAACGGAGCCTCCGGGAAGTTGGCCCGGGAGAGCTCTCATGACAGCAATTTTATGTTGTCATGATAGCATCTTTTTACCCCGCTTTCGCCTAAGTTGCTTCCTCGCGCTATAGGTAAAACCTATAAAAAAATTTTAAAAAAAGTTTTAAATGTTTATTTTGCAATCGTGTATCTGCTTAGTGATTTAAATGGTTTGTTTCCTAAGTTGGTTTTAGAATTAACTCCTTAATCACACTTAGTTTATTTGAATTGTGTGATTTTTGGATAAC